GGGAGCTATTCGATATCGTGGACCTATATAGATAATTCTCTTCCGAGGTATAAAGTACCCACAAGGAACTCCTTGTGGGGATTTTCAGACAATTCCGTTGAAAAGGGTGGGTAAAATCATCAAAATATCGAATATCGGGGGTAGCGTTATATGGGGGCTTTACGATATCGTGAACCGAACTTAACCTGCCTGCAGCCAAAAGAGAGATCTGTGCAAAATTTTAGCTTCCTATCTTAAATAGTTTAGACTGTAGCGTGATTACAACAGACAAACAGACGGACAAACAGGTCTAAAACGTCTTAGAATTTTACGCTGATTAAGAATATATATACTTTGTTGAATCTAAAATGATTATTTCGATGAGTTGCAAACGGAATGACGAACTTAATATACCCTCCATACTATGTATGGTGGAGGGTATAAAAATGGAATACTTCGGTCGACTATATGTGGTCCCTCACACACATTTTAACATTTTCTGAAAATTATCACATATCTCATAAAAAGTTAAGGAAGTTACCAATACAGCCCAAACCTGGCACGTGGCAATATTTATATCACATTTATTTAGGTCCGACACGAAATGGACAATGTTGGCCCATTTCTTTGAAACCTGTCAAATATATTTAAAAAATCGAACATTGGCTGATGGTATACATCTGTCGGTAAAACCGACTGATACTTTTAAACTATTATTATTGTAAAGGACTTAAAAAATATTTTTCAATCAAATTAACTTTAATGTGGAATATTCATTTGTTTTTAAGGATATAGTTTATTTTAAGGATAATTTTCGTTGGGGACACCATCAGAGTAAATTTCTATGTCGATTTTGTTATGTACGTGAGTTTCTTCGCCCGCCAATGGAAATGGCAATAGAGGTAACCATATTTAAGATATGACTTTGAAACTTTGCACAGAATTTTATATTTTTTCCAGGATAATTGACATTAAACAGACAATTTACTTATTTACGTTACTTCAATGTTGTTTAGTATAAAGTATTGGGTATATGGGCTTAGCGTGAATGCAATTAAATTATACATTTTTTCCAAATTAGTTTAAAACACTTAAAAATATTTTCTCGTTAAATCGAGTTGAATATAAAACCATTTTTATTTCTTTTCTTCTTAAGAAAAATAAAAACTTTGTAGTTTTGAATAACTATTGTTGTGGTTTTAGTAATTATTATTGTTATATGATTTATTGTTGTTTTAGGAGCAGTTCAACTTTTGCAGACACATATTTTTTATCCTTTAATTAGAAGAAGTGTGTTTTATTTTTTTTTACTTTTTTGATTCTAAAACTTTGACTTTTCAAAGAATTTTGTAACTTTGCCAGTCATACAACAATATTTGAATGGAAACTGTAATTCTTGTTTTTTCTTTACAACTCTCAGCCATTTCTGTCTACTCAAAATGCAATTTTCTTAACATTTTTCTCTCGTTTTTGTTTGTTTTTTTTTTTTGGTGTAAGTGAATTGTGTGTCTGTGTGTGTTTGTCGTTTTCGTCCTCAAAAACTAAAACAGTGACAATTGCTTTTCAGTCAAGTCATTTACATGACTTGAGTGGATGCGACATTAGAGTGGTCAGTGATTAGAATAATTCATAATTTATATTTTAATATACAATTTCCTTCGGGTTAATAATTCCTTGTGAGCATTCAACAGCTGGCATCATTTTTATTTGAACTGAATACTAAAAAATTAAAGTTTATTTAAACATGGCAATTTTGGTTATTGATTTGTAAATTTAAACATTCTCAACCCTCCTCGCTATTACATTTGTCACATTTGTTTAAGAAAAATCTCATCATTGTCTACGTTGACATTTCAAGTTATTCTCGTTTTTTGGCCCATCTCAGCCAATGTCTGTCGGGCTGAAGTAGAGTTGCATGTGCCATTGCCAGAGACTCTGCCTTAAATGCGTTTGAACTTTTCATGCGATTACCAACAACGAAAAAATCCACCAACCTCAGCTTCCCTTCAATCTTTCTACTCTCGGAATTGTTTTTCGACAACTTGGGGTGACAAATGTGTCAATTCAGTTTTTCGTTTCTTCGGAAATGTGTCTGCCTGCCTGCCTGCCATGAATGCTTGTATACCCAGAGAAGTGTTTGTGTAACTACAGACATACATAAATGTATGGGGTCGACGACGTCTTCGTTCAGCCTGGTGGTGATGTCTGTCTGTATGTCTGCTACTTGTCTGTAAGATGTCTCCTTAAGACAAGATTAAGCTAAAAGTTTGTGTTCTTGCATACATCTGCAAGAATGGTGACAATAAAAATTGGAATTTTGGTTTCTTCGAAGAAAAACTTGGGACAACACAAAAATAAATTCTGGAACCACATTGTACTTGCCAAACATTTAATTGTTAGAAGAAACGATTTTTTTTTTCAATTTTAGTTTAGAGAATTTTAAGAAAACTTGTTGCTCTACTATAAGTTGAGATTTTGTTTTGATTGTTAAGTAAATCTCAAGTGAATTTCTGAGAAAGCGTAAAATAGTAGTTGAAATAGAAAATGCGTATTTGTAGAATTCATTCTTTGGCTGGTAAGCAAAGATAACAATATTTTAAGTGGCATTGAGGATTAAAAGGTATGAAGTGGGCAAATTTTGGCATTTTTTATGCCAACATGAGCAATATTATACTAAAATGGAACCAAATAGTTTTGCGCCACCTTTTTTAATTCGAACATGTGGCCAAGATCTTCAAAATATCATACTCATGATTATTATTATAGAGGTGCTATACCAAAATCTGCAACTAAGTGAGATTTATTAATGAATTGTTATATAGGGTGAGATTGTTATAAGGGTGAAAAACTTCAACCAACTTCAGACTGCTGTCATTTCTAAGCCACTGGTCCGACAGCTGTTGAAATTATTCCAGTGACATCTCATTATATTATTTACAAGCGTACAAAAGGATTTTGGTGAGAATTTTCCAGAAAAAAAGTTATTCGAGGTGGAATTCAAACGTGATAGTGTGATTTCTTTTTATTTGGCTGGAAAACCACAAGTGGCTATCGTTAGAGCACTCCAGCATTTAAATGCTACCGTGATAATTCGTGCCAAAGATGACCAATTCGAACAAATCTAAACTTATTCTAAAATTAGATGCTATTTCCAACATTTTTTGCTTTCATTCAATAAAATTTGAAACAAAATGTAAAAATGATGGCGTTTGACTTTGTTGCAGTTTTTTTATCTCACCCTGTATATTCATGGCCTCCAGTAAATTCGTCCTGGCTGAACTTTGATTACCCTCCACTATTTGAAATGGCTTTATAAATTTTCAAAAAAAAATCCACATTCCAATTAATTATGTAGCAAAAACAACAAAATACCGAATAATGGAAGGTACTGTTATTATACGAAGACGAGGACTTGTATTTGTCATAGGCTGTAGTATCTACTAAGATCAAATACGAAATCTAAAACAATCCCGGTAAATAATGTCGAATGTCGTAAAATCGAATATAGAAAGGTACAGTAATATGGGGGGTTATAAAAAGACCTGAACCAGAATATGCAATACGATGTCATACAATGTAGTACCCATTGGGAATTGTAAATTCCAAATTTGAAACATTTTCGGTGAAAAGTGCGGCACAAATCATTTGGAGGTACATACCCAAAAACACAAAACACACAAACAAGTTGGTTACAATTATCAAAATACCGAACATCGGGAGGATAGTGGCTATAGAAAAATGTTGGCCCATATAGAAATAGTTCGATATAAACACAAGAGCCCACTAAGGAATACAAATACTGAATTGTAAATAATATCGTAAGAAAATGTGACTAAAATCTCAAAATACCGGACGTGGGGAAGTACCTTCATATGGGGGCTATAGGAAAACGCTAAAACACTAAACACCGAACACTAATTCGTTAAAGATTATGGCTAAAATCGTCAAAATATTCCTTATCCTGGACATTAGGCAGAACCAGAATAGTTAAACAACACAGCATACATCACTGTTACAACGTTATCGACTTAGAAATGTAGAAACAGAATGATAAACTTAATATAACCTCCTTACTATGTTTGTGGAAGGTATAAAAAAATAACGAGAACATTTTTACGTGACGTCTTGTACCAAATATAGATTATGTACATATGTATTTATAGCTATATATAAACCGATTTGGTATAATTCAAAATTCAAGCTAACCTAAAATCAATTGAAGTAATATTTACAAAAATTTAGAAAATGTTAGAACAAACAGCGTTTCTGACATATACCAAATATCATTGTCATGGATCGCTTATTATAGCTTCGGGAACTTTATATATGGGAGCTGAACCGATTTATCTAAAATATCGTAAGCATGCTTCTTGACAGAATTCGATCGTATGCTTTAAAATGTTATTTGGTTTTATTTCTGAAATTCTATTTGGTCAGATATTCCGCATACAATAAATCAGAAATAGGAAAATGGTATTTTGAGCTATTTGAAGCTTAATGAATTTGGCGTTAGTTGTACCAATTTAAGATTGAACCTTGGCCCAGACAAATGAGTTGTACAAAGCTTTATCTTAATCCTTCAACATATTCGACGAGCAATTGTCTTAAATAATATATAACGGGCGTAAACGTTTAGTTTTTCATCTTATAAATGCACAAAGACAGAATATCCTTTACCACAGCGTGTTATGACTTTACTATGGTATAGATATTTCGACCCTTGTGGAAAACTTTATTAGAGCTATACCAAAAGTATAGGGGTTAAAAACGAATTGATAAAATAATTTGCGCTACTCAAAGATTAAAATTCAGGATTTAATTACTACTGCAAACTATTGATATTCAAATAAAAGGTGAACTTGCAAAGGAACAACATTTGCAATAAATTATCACTTATAATTCGGATGTGTTGCTCAAATGGGCAGTAATACTTAATTAAAAACCACATCAGGCAACAGCCGTTGAGTATTTTTCCGTTGGTGTAGTTTTTTATCGTTAAATTTAAAATCTCCAACACTTACCACTTCCAGGGAAGTCTTCAGCTTTCCAAACAGGGCTGCCCATATTTTGTCACGGGTAAAGGCACTCTTGTAGCCTTGTAAAATATCAATTAATTCCATGAAAACTTTACGGCCATGATTGTCCTTGGGTGGACCATCACGATACAAAAGCAATGTGGGATTGGTTAAGATGACCAAAAGACGTATAAGAACATCGGCAAATTCCTCATCATTTACATATTCCGGCAACATATAAACCAAATCGGTTTGTAAAACTTTGGCATGGCCCAAATGACGGCGATATTCATGGTTGTCGTGATCACGACGTAAAATCCAAATTAAATGCTAAAATATACAATCAAATATTTACAATTTCCAATTCTTGTCAGATATTCCTCCACTTACCTTTAGGCCTTGTATGGCATCAGGCTCAGCCTGATAACGTTGGCCATCAGAATAACCCAAGGCCGCACAAGTTGCATCAATGTCAGCCAATAAGACCGACATGGTTTGGCTTTTTATCTGTTTTTTGTAGTTTTTCTAGACAAAATTTGCACTTTTTCTTCGCGTATTAACACGTGCTACCTCTTCCCGACGACTTCGCGATAACTTCACTGCGAAAATAAATTTTCTTTTCACTTTATTTCTTTTTCACAACACGCATTGACGATTTTAACAACCACCGGGTTCGCGAGTAAACAAATAACTGAAAAACAACAACAAATTCAGTATTTGTCATTTTTGCCCGCCATTTAGCATGTCAATAAAAACAATAACAAATGCCAACATTCTCACACACAAATTCTCTCATATGGTTTTCTCGGCACGCAACGGTGTTGCCATATCTGTAATTTTGTTTTAAAGCTTTTTGCAGAAAGCTCTTGTCTCATCGTGAATGTTACTAACCCGTGGTGTGTGTCGTTGCTAAGGTTAGTAGATCACGAATGAATGTGTGTGCACTACTCTGCTTATCAGTTGGGACTTTTTCTTTGGTTTGTTAATTTACACCGGACGTTAAATGAAACTATTATTTGAAATAAATTTGATAGAAAAATACAATGAGTGCTTAACTCAAAATATTATTTTAATATTTTGTGAACAAGTGAGAAATATTCACATTTATAACTTTTGAAGAGGTATAAACTGCTGTATACATTGTAATAAATTCTCTTGTATCTTAGCACTCAAATAATATATTTTCCTCAAAAAAGGGAATTTAACGGAAAAACGAACGTTCTAACGCTAAGAATTAAATTCAACTAAAAGTCGATTATGGCCTTTTATACCCTACACCACAAGGTGGTAAGGGTATTATGTCTTTGTGCATTTGTTTGTAACATGGAGAAGGAAGCGAGATAGACCCATTGTTACTTTTGAGAATCTTTGAATATTTTTCGAGTTATGCATGTCAATCCGTCTGTCCGTTCATGTATTCTTGTGAAAAAATGCAGGTCGCATTAATTGTCCGATTGAGATGAAATTTAACCAATTTCGGGTTAACAGTGCGACAAATGACCTGAATCTTGGCATATCCGACTGCATTCAGTCTAAAAGCAACTACATTACATTTGGTGAACAACGTATATGTTACATCTGATTTAAGTTTAAGCCCCTCACATTCGTTATATGCATTCGACATCAATGATATTTGGTACCAGTTATCAGATACAGCCCAGAAATACCTTGGCCAAATTTTATCAAGATCGGTTCATATTTGGATATAGGTCCCACATATATATTCAACCGATTTGGGGTTAATTGTGCACCAAATAGCCAATATCTGTCAAAAAGTCCTGCATTTTGGTACATCCAACCGAATTTAGTCTAGAAGCAAGTACATCAAATTTGGTGAAAATCGGTTTAGATATAGCTATAGCTACCATATATATGTTTCATTCGATTTACCAGATATCTTATAAAGCTCCTCTCATATTCGTAATACGCATTCGACAACAATGCTATTTGGTACCAGATATCTTATAAAACTCCGAAATACCTTTGACAAATTTAATCGAGAACAGCTAAGGTTTGGATATAGCTTCCATATATATTTTTAATCTGATTTCAGGTTTATTATGCACATAATGACTAATATCATCCCAATTGGAGTGAAATTTGGTATCAGATATCGTATAAAGCTCGGAAATACCTTTGCCAAATTTAATCGAAAACAGCTAAGATTTTATTATGCAAATAATGACTAATATGGACGTACGTCTCCATTTTGTGCAACTCGACATCGATATAAATATGTTACGGGAGCTCTACTAAATATGCTTATTGGTGTAGGGTATAATATAGTCGGCCCCGCTCGACTTTTAATTTTTCTTTACTCTTTTAAATATTTAATAATTCATTCCTAAATAACTAATCACATATATTAGCTTAAATCGCTGAAAAGCGAATATTAAGGGTGTTATGGCCACTTTAAAATATTCCATTAGTCATGCCTAAAAAACTGATCACAAATAATAGCTAAAATCGTCGAAAAGTGAATATTTAAGGTGTTATGGACGTTTTAAAAATTTCGAAGTTCACGCATAAATTACTGATCACAAAAAATTGCTAAAAACTCTGAAAATTCAACATTTAAGATGCTATGGCCATTTTGAAATATTCAATAATTCTTGCTTATATAACTGACCACAAATAATAGCTAAAAACCCCGAAATGTCAATATTTAAGGAGTTATGGCCATTTTAAAGTATGCTATTTTTCCTCTTTAAAAAACTGATCACAAATAATAGCTAAAAACCCCGAAATGTCAATATTTAAAGAGTTATGGCCATTTTAAAGTATGCTATTTTTCCTCTTCAAAAAACTGATCACAAATAATAGCTAAAAACCCCGAAATGTCAATATTTAAGGAGTTATGACCATTTTAAAGTATGCTATTTTTCCTCTTTAAAAAAGTGATCACAAATAATAGCTAAAAACCCCGAAATGTCAATATTTAAGGAGTTATGGCCATTTTAAAGTATGATATTTTTCCTCTTTAAAAAACTGATCACAAATAATAGCTAAAAACCCCGAAATGTCAATATTTAAGGAGTTGAAGTATGCTATTTTTCCTCTTTAAAAAACTGATCACAAATAATAGCTAAAAACCCCGAAATGTCAATATTTAAGGAGTTATGGCCATTTTAAAGTATGCTATTTTTCCTCTTTAAAAAACTGATCACAAATAATAGCTAAAAACCCCGAAATGTCAATATTTAAGGAGTTAAAGTATGCTATTTTTCGTCTTTAAAAAACTGATTACAAATAATAGCTAAAAACCCCGAAATGTCAATATTTAAGGAGTTATGGCCATTTTAAAGTATGCTATTTTTCCTCTTTAAAAAACTGATCACAAATAATAGCTAAAAACCCCGAAATGTCAATATTTAAGGAGTTGAAGTATGCTATTTTTCCTCTTTAAAAAACTGATCACAAATAATAGCTAAAAACCCCGAAATGTCAATATTTAAGGAGTTATGGCCATTTTAAAGTATGCTATTTTTCCTCTTTAAAAAACTGATCATAAATAAAAGCTAAAAACCCCGAAATGTCAATATTTAAGGAGTTATGGCCAATTTAAAGTATGCTATTTTTCCTCTTTAAAAAACTGATCACAAATAATAGCTAAAAACCCCGAAATGTCAATATTTAAGGAGTTATGGCCATTTTAAAGTATGCTATTTTTCCTCTTTAAAAAACTGATCACAAATAATAGCTAAAAACCCCGAAATGTCAATATTTAAGGAGTTATGGCCATTTTAAAGTATGCTATTTTTCCTCTTCAAAAAAGTGATCATAAATAATAGCTAAAAACCCCGAAATGTCAATAATTAAGGAGTTATGGCCATTTTAAAGTATGCTATTTTTCCTCTTCAAGAAAGTGATCACAAATAATAGCTAAAAACACCGAAATGTCAATATTTAAAGAGTTCTGGCCATTTTAAAGTATGCTATTTTTCCTCTTTAAAAAACTGATCACAAATAATAGCTAAAAACCCCGAAATGTCAATATTTAAGGAGTTATGGCCATTTTAAAGTATGCTATTTTTCCTCTTTAAAAAACTGATCACAAATAATAGCTAAAAACCCCGAAATGGCAATATTTAAGGAGTTATGGCCAATTTAAAGTATGCTATTTTTCCTCTTTAAAAAACTGATCACAAATAATAGCTAAAAACCCCGAAATGTCAATATTTAAGGAGTTATGGCCATTTTAAAGTATGCTATTTTTCCTCTTTAAAAAACTGATCACAAATAATAGCTAAAAACCCCAAAATGTCAATATTTAAGGAGTTATGGCCATTTTAAAGTATGCTATTTTTCCTCTTTAAAAAACTGATCACAAATAATAGCTAAAAACCCCGAAATGTCAATATTTAAGGAGTTATGGCCATTTTAAAGTATGCTATTTTTCCTCTTTAAAAAACTGATCACAAATAATAGCTAAAAACCCCAAAATGTCAATATTTAAAGAGTTATGGCCATTTTAAAGTATGCTATTTTTCCTCTTTAAAAAACTGATCACAAATAATAGCTAAAAACCCCGAAATGTCAATATTTAAGGAGTTATGGCCATTTTAAAGTATGCTATTATTCCTCTTTAAAAGAACTGATCACAAATACTAGCTAAAAACCCCGAACTGTCAATATTTAAGGAGTTATGGCCATTTTAAAGTATGCTATTTTTCCTCTTCAAAAAAGTGATCATAAATAATAGCTAAAAACCCCGAAATGTCAATATTTAAGGAGTTATGGCCATTTTAAAGTATGCTATTTTTCCTCTTTAAAAAACTGATCACAAATAATAGCTAAAAACCCCGAAATGTCAATATTTAAGGAGTTAAGGCCACTGATCACAAATAATAGCTAAAAACCCCGAAATGACAATAGTTAAGGAGTTATGGCCATTTTAAAGTATGTTATTTTTCGTCTCTAAAAACTGATCACAAATACTAGCTGAAAACCCCGTAATGTCAATATTTAAGGAGTTATGACCATTCTAAAGTACGCTACATTCCTCTTTAGAAAACTGATCACAAATAATAGCTAAAAACCCCGAAATGTCAATATTTAAGGAGTTATGGCCATTTTAAAGTATGCTATTTTTCCTCTTTAAAAAACTGATTACATTTAATAGCTAAAAACGCCGAAATGTCAATATTTAAGGAGTTATGACCATTCTAAAGTATGCTACATTCCTCTTTATAAAACTGATCACAAATAATAGCTAAAAACCCCGAAATGTCAATATTTAAGGAGTTATGGCCATTTTAAAGTATGCTATTTTTCCTCTTTAAAAAACTGATCACAAATAATAGCTAAAAACCCCGAAATGTCAATATTTAAGGAGTTATGGCCATTTTAAAGTATGCTATTTTTCCTCTTCAAAAATTGATCATAAATAATAGCTAAAAACCCCGAAATGTCAATATTTAAGGAGTTATGGCCATTTTAAAGTACGCTATTTTTCCTCTTCAAGAAAGTGATCACAAATAATAGCTAAAAACCCCGAAATGTCAATATTTAAAGAGTTCTGGCCATTTTAAAGTATGCTATTTTTCCTCTTTAAAAAACTGATCACAAATAATAGCTAAAAACCCCGAAATGTCAATATTTAAGGAGTTAAAGTATGCTATTTTTCGTCTTTAAAAAACTGATTACAAATAATAGCTAAAAACCCCGAAATGTCAATATTTAAGGAGTTATGGCCATT